AATAATAGTTGCCATGAATCGTTGTACAGCCTCTAATTTAATTATTCTTTTACAAAATTGAGTGAATGATTTTGATCAGTAACGCATATTGTAGTATAATAAAAACAGTAATATGGTCAGACTCACAACACAAGACGACTGCCTAACTGAGTAAAGAATAAGACCTACCACTGTTTCAAAATTGTGTGAAACCATCCTTTGACAAGCAAAAACTGGGAATAAGTTTTACAGTTCCAATGAACAGTTTACATTTTGTTCCTTCATCTTTAATGCATTGAAGGTGATATAAGAACATAAAGACGGAACACAACCAGAAAACGATAAGAAAATAAATTCTGTTCACTCCCTTTAGGTTCCTCGAGATATATGAGTACACGATAAGATTTTCTAGATAGCTTTGATCATCCAGGCTCCTTATTAATTGACCTCTAAAATAATACTAGAGATCTAGGTGCAGTACATAGACCATGATCCCATGTCCGAAGTAAACAGGAGTAATCTTTGGATCATCCAACCATAATGGCATCAGTATTAAAGGAAAACTGATATTCCCAATTCCTGATAATACTACTTTTCTTTTTCTTTTCTCTTATTGTCTGGGGAGGGGAGGGACTAGTGAGGGAGGGAGTCTTCAAAATTAAGGTTCCATGATCATATAACCAATTCAACATCATTGACCAGAAAAATTGAACCTTGGAAACTTGAAATATGAGGTTAAGAGTTCGCACATGGGACTGCAAATCTCCATACAAATGAATTAAAGCTATGCTAGTACAACATAAGATCTGCTGGCAATGTGTTGAAAGGACCGAATAAAACAAAAACAAAAGGGAAAAGGCGATAGTTCGGAAACGCATGCTTAAGCCTCGACATTACAAAAAAAAAGGGATAGGAATATACTTACACAGTCATTTCTTACACTTGCCCTTCTGCCTTTCTTTTTTTTTTTTGATTTGGGAGTTTCATCTCTGAAGAATGTTTGGAATCTATTGGGTCCCCAAGTAGGAAGGAGTGAGGCTGTCAGAGCATGACCTAGCTAGGGTTAGCAACATAGCATTAGCAACCCCTTCCACTCACTAACCAAAGATAGATCATGCTGGCAGCTTCACTTTTTCCCCTGCAGACTTCTCCTCAATACTTGCATTAAAAGGATATGGTCAACACTATATATTATAAAAAAGAGAACTAAAATTAGAAAACTTGGTGGGATATTCTTCACGATGATAAGGATCTAGAATAAGTAGAATACACAGAAATGAAGCTTCATATGCCACCTGCTACACACTATGGAGCGATAGCTGAAATGGAAAAGAAGAGACAGGAAAACCCCGGCTAGTCATGTGCATGCGGAGGGATTTTTATGAAGAGGATCCGATAAAGAGCACATAGCTCAACACTGGAGGTGTAGTAATATATACGTCTTAATAGAATAAAACTGTACAAATGTTGAGGAGAGAAAAGAACCGAAAGCTCTTCAGAGGCAACTAGTTTGTAACAGAAGAGAAAGACGGCGAGACAAGTTAGGATTTATGAAATAGTAAGACATGGACGAAGAGAAACAGAATAAGGAGAAATATGATAAAGACAAAGCTAAGAAACTGATAACTTCTTTTTTCAAAAAAGAAAAATAAAACAAAGCTTATTTGGATGAGAACCTGATGAAGAGAATGCATTAAGCAGAAAAGAAATACAGAAAGAACCAACACTTTTTATCAAAGAAGAGTAGAGGGGAGAAGGAAGAAAAGATAGGAAGAAACGAAGAGAGAAGGGCGTGGAGACGATGGTGGAATAGATAGGTAAAGGTGATGCAGGCACTGCAATTATTTATAAGGGGGAGGGCCGAGCGTGAAATGGCATTGAAAAGAGGGAAGAGGAGGTAGATGGGTAGAGAGAGTTTCAGGAAGACATAACCCACCTTGCAGAACAGTGAAGTAAAAGAAACATGATGAGGACAGCTAAGAGAGAGAAGAGAGAAAGCGAATAAGGCTATGGACATAGATGTATCATAACGGGGTAACAGGTGGTAGAAATATAGGGCGGCATGGCAGGTGGGGGCATCTGCGGTCATCTCTGGGTACCCACTGTAGTAACCATAGACTGTCTAGTAGAGGAACATAGGGTTCGTACCTCACCTCCCATTTGACTGTTCCTGATCACTCAACAGGGGCAGAAGGGGCACTGCCTCGCAATTATTGGGATCCATTTCAAAAAAACTAGTAAATTATATCATTTTCTTTTAGAATTTCAATGCGTTGTTTTGGACTACATGGGTGGCCAACCCAAACAAGTTCGTTTTGTGTCTTTTTCTCATCTTTTAAAATTTGCTTCTTTCTTTTCTTTCTAAGCTTTGTTCAAAGCTCAGTTGTCAATTCATGTTTGCTGGTAATTTTAATGCTGCTTCCCGTCCATCGAGACAAAAGACGGGAAGATAACCAAACCCCAACAATAATGTTTATGCCTAAGGAGAGTTTCCACTCCTTGTGGTTGTAGATGTTAGCTTTAGCACAGGATAACAAATGAAATGATACAGTGGCTGCGTAGTTACCAAGAAGTTTGTTCGAGCTAAAAAGAGGGTGGTGAGGAAATCATGTGAGGATGACAGGACTCAGAAGTGAATTAAAAGAAGAAGATGAGAAGATCAGAGTTGAGTGATTAGTGAAGGTCAGGTTTGGTACGTGTTAGCAATGTAATGGTTGGCTTCCTGGCTTTTGCATCTCTTTGCTCTGACTTGTCAATGCATGCTTAAATCTATGGACTATTCATTCATTATTATTATCTCAAGCCTTCTACGCCTACACCCTGTTCAATTCTAACTATCAGTTTCCTAGGGTTCTCGTTCCATATGGACTACCCAGTTTTCTAGGGTTCAAATGGGAGGGAGGGCAAAGGGATGAGTCTCCATGCCTTGATAATTATGAGCACATGGATTCTCTAGGAGATGCAGTTCTTGCACCCGCCTGCCCCAACTCGCACTTTAATTCGCCATGCCTGGATCAACCAACTCATAGTATTACCACTTTCAACTCTTTAATACTGAATCAACAATTTAAATGTAAATTCCATACAAACAAATGTTTCACTCTAAAACCCATGCTCGGATCACTAGGATAGCCCACATTTGTTTTAAGACTACAAACATGCAAGTCTCAAAAAAGAACACCTTAATCTTGAGATTGTTTATTAAAGTATCCATCCGATATTAATATCTTGTACAGAAAAAGAAATGAGCCACTTAATCTGGGTGGCTAGGAAGAGGAGTTGCCAATGTGCAATGAGTGAGGCAAAATTGATGATGAAAGAAACCAAGGATGTAAACATCTTAAAGTTGAATATGGTTCCAATCGCGATGAATACAACTACACAAGTGATTTAAACTAATCAATATCTAGATAGTGAAAGCGCAAGAACCCCAACTAAGAAATAGCTGTGTTTTGGCAGCTAGTGTAACTTTCTGTTACCTTCATCTAGACCTTTACATATACATACAAATGCAGCAAGCTAGCAATGCATCTGTATCTCTGATCTGTAACTGTATCCGACTCTCTGATGAAAGTAGAATTGCTGTGGTCCTATCTAGTGCGACTTCCATAGAGTGGTCCCTGTGGCATTCATCATTGTCCTTTGGTACATAAAGTGCTTGATGGAGATAGGGCCGGCAAATCTCGTCTTCTCTTGGTATGATAACACACTATATTCACTGCAACAGCACAAAACAGGTTAGCTTTACCTCAATATGAAACAGACCCAAAGTTGCAGGATATTGCTTTCAAATCTGGGTAGAATGTTTAACCTTTTACTCCAAGAAAGACAGGGAAAATTATATCCTATAATGTCCTTGTTTTCCCTCATAAGGGCCATCCTAGCTACCAGATATGCACCAAGAAATAAATGCTTTTCTTGTGGGGTTTACATTCAGAATTGACATCCAAAATGAAATGTATTAGTTATCGCATCCTAATAGAGATCCCTTTGCCTTTCTCACTTTTAGAACAAGTCAGCCTCTCAATTACTATGATCACATTAATCAATCCTCACTTTCCCTTAGCGCACGAGTGGCCACCCACAGCAGAGCA